GTAGGTGTCACAAAGCTAGTAGGGGTAGCTAACATGGTGGATGACAAGATTCAAAAAACTCCTTAGACACTAGAATGACAGGCCAAAACAAACAAATAAAATTCAGTAAGTACAAATGTGAAGACCTACATCTTTATTTCTTTTCTAGTTACATGAAGAACAATTTTTACATTTTTTTTAAATTTGAGTTCCAAATTCTCTCTCACATTCCTCTCCCCATCTCATTGAGAAGGCAAACAATTTGATATAGGTTATACAGATGCAATCATGAAAAAGTTTCCATATTAGTTATGTTGTGAAAGAAAACACAGACTAAAACAAAACAAACCCCAAGAATCATAAAGAAAGTAAAAAAAAAAGGTATGCTTCAATCTGCATTCAGATTCCATTAGTTCTTTCTCTGGAGGTAGATAGCATTTTTCATCCTAAGTACTTCGGAATTACTGTATTGCTGAGAATAGCTAAGTCATTCATGGTTTATCATCGTACAATATTATTGTTATTGTGTACGATGCTGTCCTGGTTCTGCTTACTTCACTTTGCATTGGTTCATGTAAGTCTTCCCATGTTTTTCTCAACGCATCCCGCTAGTCATTTTTTATAGCACAATAGTATTCCATCACAATCATATACCACAACTTGTTCAGCCATTCCCCAATTGATGGGCATCCCCTCAATTTCCAATTCTTTGCTACCACAAAAGGAGCTACTATAAATATGTACACACAGGTCCTTTTCCTTTTTAAAAATCTCTTTGTGATATGGACCTCATAGTGGTATTGCTGGGTAGACATATTTTGATTTCCCTTTGGGCACAGTTCCAAATAGCTCTCCAGAATGGCTGAATCAGTTCACAACTCCACCAACAGTGCAAAAGTGTCCCAATTTTCCCATATCCCTCCAATATTTGTCATTTTCTTTTTCTGTTATATTAGTCAATCTGAGAGGTATGAGGTCAGAGTTTTTTTTAACTTCCATTTCTCTAATCAATAATGATTGAGAACATTTTTCATATGACTACAAAGAGTTTTGATTTCTTTCTTTGAAAACTGCCTATTCATATCCTTTGACCATATATATCAATTGGGGAATGGCTCTTATTTTTATAATGACTCAGTTCTCTATATATGTTTGAGAAATGAGGCCTTTATCAGAGAAACTTGCTGTAAAATTTTTTCTCCCATTTTTCTGCTTTCCTTCTAATCTTGGCTACATTGGTTTTGTTTGTGCAAAACCTTTTTAATTAAATGCAATCAAAATTATTCATTTTATATCCTCTAATGCTCTTTATCTCTTGTTTGGTTATAAATTGTCCATAGATCTGACAGGTAAACTACTCCATGCCACACTTCATATCTAAGTCATATAATCCACTCTGCTATCCATTTCCATTTTATAGGTAAGTTCAACCCATTTACATTCACAGTTCTGATTTCTGTGTATTTCCCTTCGTCCTACTCACCCCACCCTGTTTATCCTTCTCTCTCTTTCCTCTCACTCTGTCCATCTTCAAAAATGTTTTGCTTCTGACCACTGCCTCCCCCAATCTGCCCTCCCTTCTGAAATCAGCCCCTCACCTACTATTTCCCTGAAGGTAAGACAGATGTCTAAACCCAAATGAATGTGTATTTTATACTCCCTTTGAGCCAATTCCAATGAGAGTCAGGTTCAAGCATTGCTTACCCACCCCCATCTTCCCTGCCACTGTAAAAGCTCTTTCATACCTCTTATGTGACCTCTCCCTTCCCCCTTCTCCTACTGCATCCTTCTTTCTCACCCCTTAATTTTATTTTTTGGGATATCGTCCCATCATATTCAACTCACAGTCATGCCCACTGTCTAATGATAAAGTTCTTAGGAGTTACAAGTACCATTTTCATATGCAGGGAAGTAAACAGTTTAACCTTATCGAATCCTTTATGATTCTTCTTCATGTTTTAACTTTTTATGTTTCTATTGAATCTTGTATTTGAAAGTCAAATTTTCTATTCAGCTCTGATCTTTTCATCAGGATTGCTTTAAAGTTCTCTATTTCATTAAATATTCATTTTTTCCCCTGAAGGATTCCACTCAGTTTTGCAATGTGGGTGATTCTTGGTTATAATCTTAGCTCCTTTGTCCTCTCAAATATCATAATGCAAGTGCTCTGCTCCATTAATGTAGAAGCTGCTAAATCTTGTGCTATCCTGATTGCAGCTCCAGGATATTTGAATTATTTCTTTCTGGCTGCCTGCAGTATTTTGTCCTTGATCTGGGAGCTCTGGAATTTGGATATAACATTCCTTGGAGTTTTCATTTTGGGATCTCTTTCAGGAAGTGATAGGTAGGTTCTTTCAATTTCTATTTTACCTTCTGATTCTAGAATATAAGGGCAATTTTCCTTGATAATTTCTTGAAAGATGATATCTAGCCTCTTTTTTTGATCATGGCTTTCAGATGGTCCAATAATTCTTAAATTTTCTCTCCTTAATCTTTTTTCTAAGTAATTTGCTTTTCCAATGAGATATTTCATATTTTCTTCTTTTTTTCATTCTTTTGATTTTATTTTATTGTTTGTTGATGTCTCATAGAGTCGTTAGTTTTCACTTGCCCAATTCTAATTTTGAAGGACTTATTTTCTTTAATGAGCTTTTGAATTTCCTTTTCCATTTGGCCAATTCTACTTTAAAGTAGTTCTTCTCTTCAGTAAATTTTTGTACATCTTTTTCCATTTGGCCTATTCTGTTTATAAGGTGTTTTTTTTTCAGCATTTTTTTGTACCTCCTTTACCAAGGTATTGACTTTTTTCTCATGATTTTCTTGCATCACTCTCATTTCTTTTCCCCAATTTTTCTTCTGTCTCTTTTATTTGATTTTCAAAATCCTTCTTGATCTCTTCCAGGAATTCTTTTTGGGCCTGAGACAAATTCACTTTTTTTGGGGGGGGGGGAGCTTTGCATGTAGCTGTTGTGACATTGCTGTCCTTCTACGCTTGTGTTTTGATATTCTCTGTCACTATAGTAACTTTCTAAGGTCAGGTTTTTGTTTGTTTATTTGTTTGCTCATTTTCCCAGACTATTTCTTGACTTTTAACTTAATGTTGAAGTTGAGATCTTATCCCAGGGTAGAGGGAGCACTGTCCCAACCTTCAGATCTCATGTGCTGGTGTTTTCAGATCTAGGTCTGGAGGGTCTGTAAGTTTTTGGTTCTTCCAAGGTAGTATGATCTAAGGAGACATGTGGTCACTCTCTCCTGGCCTATGCTCTGGTGTGTGAGCAACCACAAGCACTTTTTTCTGCCCTGGAACTGTGTCCTGACTCCTTCTAGTGCTCCTCCTTGCCCTGGCATTGTGACCTGGAACTGTGTATGGGCAATGAAACAGAGTCCTGTTCTAAGTGCCAGCAAAGAATCCCCTGTAATCTGCTTCTGAACAGCTGTCCAACCCCCTTACCGTCTATGGGCTAAGAGCACTGATTCAGTTGCCTCCAAGGCCTGCTGTTGGCTTGTAGGGGAGTGGCCTGAACTAGCATGGCCTGTTTTGGATTGTGTTCCACTCTCACCCTGCTGAGACAGACCTTTCCTGCTAGCTAACCTTCTAAGTTGTCTTGGGCTGGAAAATTGTTTCACCTTGTCCTTTTGTTGGTTCTAACACTTCAGAATTCATTTTGAGGCATTATTTCAATGGTGTTTGGAAGGTAATTTGCAAGAGCTCAGGTGGGTCCCTGGTTTTAGTCTGCCATCTTGGCTCTACCCCAACCAACATCTTTATTCAAAAGAATGGTCTTCACAATTAAAGAACTATGTAGGCAGGACTAGATAACATTCACGTGAAAAGGATTTGTTGTTGTTCAGTTGTTTCAGTTGGTCAGATTCTTCATGACCCTTTTTGGGGTTTTCTTGCCAAAGATAGTAAAGTGGTTTTCCATTTCCTTCTCTGGTTCATTTTACAGATGAGGAAACTGAGGTAAATAGGGTTAAGTGACTTGCCCACGGTCACACAGCTAGTAAGTGCCTAAGGTCAGATTTGAACTCAGGAAGATTAGTCTTCCTGACTCCAGGCCTGGAACTCTATCCACTGCATTACTTAGCTGTCCATGAAAAGGATTAGAGAATTTAAACAGACTATAAATTCACTATGATTCAAATGGTTAATATGACAGCAAAAAAACTTAATGTGATTTTAGGTTTTTTTAAGAAAGTCAGAGTATGCAGGGCTAGGCAATAATCTCATTGTATTTCTGCCCTGATCAGACCCCATCTGGAACATGAAGCTCAGTTATAGACACCACATTTTAGGCGGATGTAGACAAACTGAAGTACGCCTACCAGAGGCCAAACGGGGTTGTGGTAGGATTGGAAAGATCACATCATAGAAGAACTTGTTGAAGGAAAAGTGGAAGTCTAGCCTGGAAAAGAGACTTAGAGGCTAATAATACTAATAATAGTCTTCAGGTGTCTGAAGGGCTTTCAAGTAGAAGACATTTAAACTTGTTCTGCTTGGCCCCAGTGAACCAAACCAGAGGTGACGGGTGGAAATTGCAGAGAGAAAAATTTAGGCTTGATTGAAGAAGAAAGTTCCTAAGATTAGAGCTGCCTAATAGTGAAATGGACTGCCTTAGGAACTGATGGGTTTCCTCTTACTGGAGGTCTTCAAGTAAAAGCTGGATAATCACTTGTCACTGATGGAATAGAGGGGTTTCATGGTGAGGCACAGATTAGACTAGATTGCATCTGAGGTCCCCTGGTTCCCTGGTCTCAGAATCTCTGAGATTCTGTGACTATGATTGTGTGATCCTAAGTCTCTTATTTTCATAATGGATTTTTAAATTTATAATGCAATCAGGCAGTTGGTGTCAGGATCCAATGATGTATCACTATAGAAAGATTAATTTACTTTTGGAAAAGTAAGAATTTCAAAGCGATCACAAAAATGCAATAAAATTCAGAGGATCTGGAATCTTATTGCTGCATTATTTGAGTACAGTTCTTTAATAAATACAGTACAACAATATAAACCATACCTGGGCTATGAAGTCCATTATTCTTCCCTTGATATGAATCTCTTCGAGAGGGATTTGAATCCCAGAGAGATCCTGAAGGCCAGCTTTTATGTTGACAAAAGGGTCAGTATCTGGTAACACATAATCTAAATAGTAACAATTTAATTGTTAGGTTTTTTTAAAGTATCTTTTCTTAGTATAATTTTTTAGTTACCTTACCTATCGATACTTTTCCTTAACCTAACACACTTATATTTCATGGCAAATGCAAAAATAGTCATTTATTTCAAATAGCGAAGGATGAAGTTTAAATAAATAAAATTTTCAGACAGCAAAGAGTTGGCAGTATTTGGAAAAATATTTTTTTCTTTAAAATTTTAAGAATCTTTTCCCCCTTCTCTTCTCTCAATGTTCTTTTCAGCATTTTCTTTTTTTTTAATTGAATTCCAAGTATACTTCTTGAATAATTAAATTTACTCTTTAGTATACCACTAGGATTTGTAACATTCACTATTAAATTCAAGAACACTCTTTGGTTGCTTACAAATCTGATAACTCATAAGCTATCATATGAGTTCTATGATATAAATATTTGATTTTTTTCTTTTTAAAGATATTTAAAAATTTTATTACATGTTTATTTTTAATACTCTTTTTAAATTTTGAGTTCTAAATTCTCTTCCTTCTTCCCACACCCTCCCCTGCCCACTGAGGAAGAAAGCAAAATGACATCAGTTATGCATGTGAAATCATATAAAACATTTCCATATTAGCCGTATTTCAAAAAATAAAAACAAGAAAAACAGAGAAAATCATACTTCAAGTTGCACTCAGAGTCTATCAATTATCTCTCTCTGGAGGTGCATGGCATTTTTTTCATCATGAATCTTTTGGAATTGTTTTGGATCATTGTACTAATCAGAGTTGCCAACTCTTTCACAGTTGATCATCATTACAACATCACTGTTACTGTGCACAATGATTTCCTGATTCTTCTCACTTTACTTTGCATTAGTTCATATAGATCTTGCCATATTTTTCTGAAACCACCCCCCTTATCATTTCCCACGGCACAAAAGTACTCCATCACAATTATATGCCAGTTATTTAGCCATTTCCCAAATGATAAGCATCCTCTTGATTTCCAATTCTTCGCCACCACAAAAAGAGCTGATACAAATATTTTTGTACATATAAGTCCTTTTCCTTTTTCTTTTATCTCATTGAGGTAGAGATCTAGTAGTGGTATTTCTGGGTCAAAGGGTATCACAGTTTTATAGTACTTTGGGCCTAGTTCCAAATTGTTCTCCAGAATGGGTGGACCAGCTCTTTGCTCTACCAATGGTTCATTAGTGTACCTATTTTTCCCTCAATCCCTCCATCATTTGTCTTTTCTGATAGGTGTGAGGTAATATCTCAGAGTTGTTTTAATATGCTTTTCTGTAATCAATAGTGATTTAGAATTTTTTCATATGACTACAGACAGCTTTGATTTCTTCTTCTGAAAACTGTTTATATCCTTTGACCATTTATCAATTGGGCAATGTATTTTTTATTTTTATTTTTGAAATTTTGAAATTTTGATTTTTAAAATTTGACTCAGTTCTATACTCAGTATATATTGAGAAATGAGGCTTTTATCAGAGAAACTTGTGCTAATAACATTTTCAGGGGGAAGTAGAGCCAAGATATTAGAGAAAAAGCAGCGACTTGCCTAAGCGCTCTCCAAAACCCCTCCGAAAACCATTAAATAATTCCATAAAACAATTCCTAGGGCAGCAGAAACTCACAAAAGGGTGGAGTGACATGATTTTCTGGCCAAAGACAACTTATAAGATCAGGAGGAAAGGTCTGTCACACCTGGGTAAGAGTGGAACATAGCTCAGCATGGGCTGTGCCAGCACAGACCCAGCCCAAGCAAAAAGGCCTGGAGCAGGCCTTTGGAGCCATTGCATCTGCAGTGGCAGCAGCTGCTTCCTCAACCCACAGATGGTAAGGGGCTGGAACAACTGATCAGAAGGTGATTACAGGGGTCTCTCTGCTAGCACTGAGGCAGGACTTTGTTGCTTTGCCCATACTCAGACCTGGGTCACAATCCTAGGTGGCAGTCCCAGGACAAAGAGGAGCACTAGCACAACCCAGCTTGTGGCCACAGTGGAGTGGGGACCCTTGTCACAATTCTAGGGCAGAAAAGAGTGCTTGTGGTCGCTCACAGACCTGAGTACAGGCCAGAAAAATAGTAAACACATCTCTCCTTAGATCTTACCACCTTTGAAGAATGGAAAACTTAAAGGTCCCTAGAAGTATCTCTAAAAACAACTGCACAAAACCCCCGAAGCTTAGGACAATGTACCCTCCACCCTGGAAGCAGAGCTTTACTTTAACAAAGAGTAAAAAGTCAAGAAATAGGGGGCAGCTACGTGGCGCAGTGGATAGAGCACCGGCCCTGAAGTCAGGAAAACCTGAGTTCAAATCCAGCCTCAGACACATAACACTCACTAGCTGTGTGACCCTGGGCAAGTCACTTAACCCCATTGCCCAGCCAAAACCTCCCCCCAAAAAGTCAAGAAATAGGCTGAGAAAATGAGCAAACAACAGAAAAGATTCAGACCACTGAAAGTTACTATGGTGACAAGGAAGATTAAAACTCACACTCACAAGAAGATAACAAAGTCAAAGCTCCTATATCCAAAGTCTCCAGGAAAAATATGAATTGTTCTCAGACCATGGAAGAGCTCAAAAAAGGATTTTGAAAATCAAGTAAGAGAGGTAGATGAAAAATTGGAAAGAGAAATAAGAGTGATGCAAGAAAATCATGAAAAACAAGTCAACAGCTTGGTAAAGGAGGCACAAAAAAATACTGAAGAAAATAACATCTAAAAAAACAGACTAGGCCAAATGGTAAAAGAGATACAAAAAGCCAATGAGGAGAAGAATGCCTTGAAAAGCAGAATTGGCCAAATGGAAAAAGAGGCACAAAAATTCACTGAAGAAAAAACTCCTTAAAAAGTAGAATTGGTCAAATGGAAAAGGAGGTAGAAAAGCTCACTGAAGAAAGTAATTTCTTAAAAATTAGAACTGAGCAAATGGAACCTAATGACTTTATGAGAAATTAAGAACAATAAGACAAGACCAAAAAAATGAAAAAAATAGAAGACATGTGAAGTATCTCATTGGAAAAAATAACTGACCTGGAAAATAGATCCAAGACAGCAATTTAAAAATTATTTGACTACCCATGATTAAAGAAAAAAAAAACCTAGACATCATCTTTCAAGAAATTATCAAGGAAAATTGCTCTGATATTCTAGAACTGAAAGGTAAAATAGAAATTGAAAGAATCCACCAATCACCTCCTGAAAGAGATCTCAAAATAAAAACTCTCAGGAATGTTATAGCCAAATTCTAGAGCTCCCAGGTCAAGGAGAAAATATTACAAGCAGCCAGAAAATAACAATTCAAATATCATGGAGCCACAGTCAGAGTAACACAAGATTTAACAGCTTCTACATTAAAGGATCATGGTCTTGCAATATAATATTCTGAAAGGCAAAGGAGCTAGGATTACAACCAAGAATCACCTACCCAGCAAAACTGAGTATAATTCTTTAGAGGAAAAAAATAAACATTCAAAGAAACAGAGGACTTTCAAGCATTCTTGATGAAAAGACCAGAGCTGAGCAGAAAATTTGACTTTCAAATACAAGACTCAAGAGAAGCATAAAAAGGTAAACAGGAAAGGCAAATCATAAGGGACTTAATAAGATTAAACTGTTTAATCCTACATGGGAAGATGATACTTGCAACTCATAAGAACTTTCTCATTATTAGGACAGTTAGAAAGAATATATATAGACAGAGGGCACAGATGTGAGTTGAATATGAAGGGATGATATCTGAAAAAAATAAAATTAAGGAGAGAGGAATGCACTGGGTGAAACAGGAAGGGAAAGGTAGAATGGGGTAAATTATCTCATACAAAACAGGCAAGAAAAAGCTTTTACAGTGGAGGGAAAGATGGGCGAGAGGAGGAGGAGTGAGTGAACCTTACTCTCGTCAGAATTGATTCAAAGAAGGAATAACATACATACTCAATTGGGTATAGAAATCTATCTTACCCTACAGGAAAGTAGGAGGGAAGGGGAATAAGAAAATGTTAAGATTGGTATGATTCAGTTTCTCCAGCAATACTTACTTTTTGGTCTTTGGACAAAGATCTCACTTCTAAAGTCCCAATAATTAAGGCTTATAGACAATCAGAAAAACTATGATTCTTAACATCCCTCTTCCCCATTTTTCAACATTCTGCCACTCTCTCTGTAGAAGGGGAAAGAGGTCATATAAAGATGAAGGCCATTTTATACTTTTCTTTGTTTTATGGTATGCTATTGTCCAAGAAATTCATCACCAAGTGGCCAACCTACTAGTGTTCAACGTCTCACCAGACAGTCTTTCACTAAGACTATATATACTCAAAGTCTTTCCACCATGGTAGAGTAGCTGGAGCTTGCACTTCATTGCCCTAGGTCCTGAGACTCTGGGTTACTTTCACCCAACTAGGAGACTTTGGAGCAAGATTTTGTCCTATAAATATTACCAAACATAGGCACTTGGTAAATGTGTTTTTAAAAAGTGAATGAATTAATTAAATTAGAAACTCTTACCTTTAAGTTGTGAATGATCATTTAAAAACTCAGGTCTATTTTCCTCCCACTCAGTATCAACACAAGGACAAAAGTCCTTTACTTGGTCTCCACGCACACAAAAGTTAACAAGGTATTTCATTTTAACCTGACTGGTTTTGTATACAACAAATTCATCATCCTAGGACAAGTAAAATGAAATCCTTAATAAATTGGTGGAAAAAGTTACAGAAGTAGATGTTTCCAAAAAATATATATATATTTACAAGCTGATTTAGAATTTGATGTTAATACAACCCACCTATGATGATGTGGATTTCATGACTGTGTAATTGATAGAAATAATTTGAGGACAGAGAGGTAAGGTAATATGAAAAATCCTTTTTATAAACTCTATCTTTCCAATCTTGTATTACACTCCCTTCCAAGTGGTGTGGAGGAGTGGATAGAGAGTGGATCTTGAAGTCAGGAAGAGTGGGGATCCAATCCTGCCTCTGATATGCATCCTGGCAGCCCCTAGACAATTTTCTAGAATATAAATTGAAGTTACACTGATTTTTCCCCTCTTTTACTTTTTAAATATTTTTTCTTTCAAAAATACTATTTGTTATATAGGATGGCTTTTTGGGAAGGAGAGAAAAAGAGACACTGGGGGAAATTATGATGATACAATAAAATGCATCAATAAAAAGTTATTAAAGGGGCAGCTAGGTGGCGCAATGGATAGAGCACTGGCCCTGGAGTCAGGAGAACCTGAGTTCAAACCTGGCCTCAGCCACATAATACTTACTAGCTGTGTGACCCTGGGCAAGTCACGTAAACCCAATTGCTTCACCAAAAATAAATAAATAAATAAAGTCATTTTTACAAAAAAGAGAAGTTGCAGAGAAAGTGTTGGCCTATATTGGAAGATGGAGTTTCCTTACCTGGGAATTTCATATACAGATGAAATCACAGGTCTAGTCCCTATCCCTATCTCACTACCCTTTATTTTGTATTTCAGCCAAATAATTACTTCCTGCCCCCTAAATACACAACGTATTCTTGTGTCTCCATGGCTTTGCTTGCAGAATTCCTTTTTCCTAGAATCCTCTCCCCATTTCACCTGTTGAATTCCTACCTATCCTTTAAAGCCCAACTCCTTAAAGAAGCCTCCTCTGATCCCTCAATCAATAATGTCCTTCCCTCTCAGATCTTACATAGCACACTTTTGTGTGCCTTTAATGCACTTGCCATAAAGTAGCATATATTCTAGTTATGTCTATCAACCTGCAAGGCAGCATCGTGCAATGGAGAGAGTTCTGGATTTGTAGTGAAGAGTCCAGGTTCAAATCCCCATTCTACCACAAACTTGCAGGGTCACTGAGCAAATTACTTACCTTTTCTAGAACTTAGTTCCCTCAATTATAAAATAGAGGTGAGGGGACTGCTGGACTATATAACTTCTGAGTTGCCTTACAGTTCTAAATCCATTTTCTACTAGTTCTACCAGCTCCTTGAGGGCAGAGACCATGTCTGATCTAAATTTTTCATCTGGTCCAGGGCCTACCACAGTATTCTTTTGTCATGAACATTTAATATACATTTGTTGTATTGTACTCATTTAAACATCAACATATTTGATTCAAGGGATTAGAATAACTAAAGACTCTTCTTTTAATATTCAATATATCACCTGATTGCATCAATATATAAATACCTCGAAGTCTGAGATGATGTGTTCTGTTCTCCGAATTCCATGCACACTGTCGTAACTTGGTGGTGGCTCAGTTAATGAGAAATCTCTCTTGTACAAATTCATACAGGATCCAAGGGCGACATCACAAACAACCAGGAATCTAGTGCCATTTGTTTTATTTGATGTTGAATACTTAATGCTTGCACTATATGTGAAAGAATACATGCCATTATAGCACATTTGTATGATTTTGTTTTTTAAGGACAATATAATAATGTACACATCCTATCAATGGACTTAGTTATATTAGTAAAAAAAATTTATTAAGAATTATGAAATCCAAGCAAATTGCTTTCTTTTTTGGAGGTATATTTACTCTTTATAGCAAAACTAAGGGGTGGGGTTTGAACTCAAAACATATATAATTTTTCAAGAAGCTAGAAAAAAATCCACAAGCACCAGATTACAGAACCTTTTTAAATGACATAAATGAAACAACAGAAGTCTTTGCTATAAATGAACTCAATACATTCATATTTCACTACCAATGTTCACTTTGAAACTACAAAAGTCAATAAATATAGCTCAAAAAAGAAATAGAGGAAAGAAGGTGGCGAAAGTTCATCAGAGATTAGCTTCTTTTCTTGATGAAGATTTATACAATTAATTAAATTTAGTTAATTACAGTTAATTAATTACAATTCCCCATTTCACTAGTTTTTCTTAGAGTCATAAAGGTTACAGTCTCATTGGTAGTTTACCTATAGAAAACTGTTTTAATTATCATTGTAAGAAAAATTGACTTTGCAGAGGTGATTAAATCGGACAACATTCCTTCTCGCCCCAATTGACAACTAATTAGTTTGTATAAAGGCAAATATAAGTAAGAGTATAAAGGAAGAAACACCTTTTCTTTATAGTCTTGTTGTGTATACAATTCACATATAATGGTGAATAACTTTGTAGTAAATCAATGTTACTGAAAGATCAGTTCCCCCAAATTTATGAAAACAAAAGACATAAGCAAAACTTCATAGTCTTTGCTGCTAGGGAGGCAGAGGCTGGTAGATTGAGTTTAACAGTTCTGAGCACAATGGGCTCAAGCTGAAGATTTCCTGTAGTAATGTCAGCACCAGGATGGTGTAAGGGTCTGCCTAAGGAGGGGCAAACTAGTCCAAGTTGGAAAAACTGAGCAGGCAAAAGATACTGTGTTGATCCATGGTAGACTCAAGACTCTGAGAGTCTGGGCCCTTCCATCTGGGGCAAGATAGGGAGACTCAGTATTCCTCCGAACCAACACACACGCACATGTGAGCACATACACACACACACACATACACATACACACACACACACACACACACAAACACACTCCCCAAACAAAAACCAAGAGATTTAACTATAACTATGCTAAAAAAAAAATCAGTCACATACAGTACATTTGTTACTTGGGAGGGAAATTCCACAAACAATACTGAAAAAAAAGTGAAGCATCTAGTGGGTACTCAATTATTCACTGATTATGAGAGTGAAGGAGAAGCATAGTTGAGAATACTGTACTGACCTGAGAGAATCACTGAAGTATATTCCACTACCAAGATTTCCAAAATCTGTTCTTTCTATTCCATGATCTTCAACCAATCTTTTGGGTAATAGCAATCCCCTATAAAAAGAAAGAATGTCATAGTCATGTAGGGGAGAAAATATGTTTCATCTCAGATTCACAACTGTAGTTCATATACACACATAAAAACATAAACCGGGGAATGGGGGTAGCTAGGTGGCCCAGTGGATAGAGCACCGGCCCTGAAGTCAGGAGGACCTGAGTTCAAATCCGGCCTCAGATCAAACACTTGACACTTACATCACTTAACCCCAATTGCCTAAAAAAAAAATAAAAAAAAAAATAAACCAAACAAATCTTAAGATGCATTTCAAGTTAATCAAGGTGGGGAAAGAGGTCAGGGTACTACTTAAATTACAAAATCATATCCCTAGTTGCTCATCACAATAGAATCAATATAATCATTCCATGTTCGGACTACAGTTCTCCCTGCCCTCAGGCTCTTTCTATTTCATTTCCCACAACTTTCATGGTAATTTTCTTCAGGTTTTTTTTTTTTTTAGGCAATTGGAGTTAAGTAACTTGTCCAGGGTCACACAGCTAGTAAGTATCAAATGTTTGGTCTGAGCGGCGTTTGAACTCAGGTCCTCTTGACTTCAGGGCTGGTGCTCTACCCACTGCGTCACCTAGCTGCCCCATAATTTTCTTCAGTTTTAAAAAAAGAATTCCTTTTCTTTTATTATGAACTTTCTGTGTGGCTCACAGAAAACCTATTATCATTCACAGCTTCTAAATTCTTTCAAATTGTTTATGATACAAATGAGAAGGTTATATAAGTCCACATGGCAAAAAAGATAAGAATTCCAAATTGCTAAACTGGTTGAAAAATAAAGCCATTTCCATTCTCTAATAAAAATATTCTTATGGTTTAAAATAAATGGGAATAGAGTGATTAATTTAAATGATCGCAACTACTCAAATGCTCATCTTAATCATATGTATTTATAATATATACACACATATATTTATATGTCAACATATTGATATATCAATGGTATGTCTAATAATTAATATCTTCCTTTATTTTTAAACTTAATTTTTAAAAATACATTTGAGTAACAAAGGTACTGAATTTTTCCTTGGCTGAAAGGTTTTAAAGGAAAGATTGGTTTTCCCATCAGATTTTCTACATGTATAATAATAAATCATTACAGAACTAAGATGAAAATAATTTTTAGGAACAAGTTAAGGGAATTCTTGTTTAAGTATGAAAAACTTTAAAATTGGGGGAAATAAAGATAGATTACCGGGAAAGAATTCCAACAATATTTCTCCCAAGTGTTCCATGTAGTAAGGACTGCACATTGCCAAGCTTGCTTTGAAATTCCACAGTTTCATTAACTCTGCCAATTTGATATACATTTAAGATGTCCACTGGATTCTTCCTGCAAAAATTATGAAAGTAACCTTCAGACTATATTACTAATTCACCAAAAAGACTCAAAAAAAGACTTGAGGGTCAACTCTACACCAAGAGTTATACAAAATAAAAAGGGTTATACAACAGGGGTTACATAAAACAAAATAAAGTTGGGCAAGCGACTTCCTATGAAACTCTATAGGCTGGGTTTGTTTTTATTCTCATTAAATATTGGTCCTTTGATCACAGTGGTTATAGCCATATCGATGTGAGGGCAGACCTGTTTCCTGAAAGTGGGCATCAAAGTGGGCTGTATCTTGTTAAAATTACAATAAGTGTTGATTCTAGCATTTGATGAATATTTTGGACCCATGGGAAAATCTTACAAGAATCATCATTCCCTAAGAAAACTGATTTGCTCTCTTCAAATCACTTAAAACTAAACATTAAGTAAATTCTTGCCTTCTGATGGCCATTAGCACCATAAACTAGTATTGCATTACCACATGAAAATGGGTTTTACTCATGTACTACACAATCCAGAAAACTCAGTCAACTCACATTATTCATAATTCTAAAATACATTTTTTAATTGATTACTAGTGATGACTGCCAGCCACCTCCTGTTTTTCCACTGTTTCCTACCTAACCTAGTTTTCTTGGGATGAAGTTTAGACTTATTGTGCTCTCTGTAGGAAGGTCAAGTGTTATTCTTGAAGCCCTGTGGGAATTTCAAAGACCCATATAGTTGCTATGGCAGCCCTCTTGTGGAGGCTCTGGAGGGGCTAAAGTAGAGAGCAAATGACAAAATGAAGATTAACTACGCGTCAAATCTGTTTAGGCAAAAAATCATCTGTATTATTAAAGACTACCCTGAAGAACCAAAGAAAAGTGATAAAAAGAAATATCCTCTACTGTAATGTTATATCAAATGTCTGAGCACTGATTTATTATGGCATTTAGGAACCTTATACTGAGAAACTGAATAAACAGAAGCATATCCTCTGTTTGTGGTTAGGTAGAGTACATGTAGCAAAAAAGGTCAATACTTTTCCAAAATCTACGTGGTGGCCTCACTAAAACAATCAAAAGTTTCTTGCAAAGATAACTGTAAAGAGGATCATAGGATGGACTTTAGAGACTTTCCCGAGGTCATGTAGGAACCAACATTGGAACCAAACTCCTCTGATCCCAAAATTGAGACCTCTTTCCATTGTACCACAATATGTCTTAAAGGATGACAGGAGACAAAGCACAATACAAAGACAAAGCACAGAGGGTCAGGATTTTTCCAGGTGTGTTTTTGCCAAGTTTACAACTCTAGTTTTTTCATGCCACATTAAAAAGAAAAATAAAATCCAAAGTCAAATCACAGCCCCATACTTTTTCCCGTTTTTAATCTCGATTTTTAAAGGGGTCTCCCTGTGTAATAACAAAGAGATTAGTGAGTTGTAACACACAAGGCTCAAATGCTCTGATTTTTTAAATTTTCAAAGAGATGTAACTACTGCAAAAAAGAAAACTCAAGGTGTAATAATAAGGCAGGAAATCAAACACAGAAGATCAAAGAACCTGTAGATTATCAGGAAAGAAAGAAATCTAATAGCAACAGCAGGCTAAGAGTCAGGATTTTATTGAAGTTACCTGTTAGCAGTTCTGGTAGTATGGCACTTTTTACATGTGTCTGATATACTATTGTGTAATTAATTATACAACTCAAAAAACTAACTCTTTTGCTCACCCATAATTTTTTTGCAATACCTCTTCTTTAACCTTGGAAAACTCTCTAGTGTTCTCATCAACATGCTCAATTTTGCATCTCAGAGCTCGATATTTGGCAAGAGAAGGTGGGTTAGGTCTTGAGAGATTTGCTTCACTGACATTAACCACATCTCTTATGAGCTGTAGAGAGAAATAGTACAAAAACACTAAAATTACCACATATTGAGGTTACTATAATAAATATGTGCATGTCGATATATACATATATACATATATATGTATATATACTTATAGTTCTCTCATTAGGATAAAAAAATACACACAACTTTTTAACAGAAAAACTTTGATAAGTATTAATCTTTCTTGCTGTTGGCATATTAAGGCTTACTCATATAGGACCCTAGGATCATTGATTTAGAGGGGAAAGTGACCTCAGAGAACATTTATTTCAACCCCTTCATTTTAGAAATGAGGAAAAGAAAAACCAAGGAGGATAAGTGACCTGCCCAAAGGTTACACATTTCTCTCTGTGAGACTTTCTCTACCCTGCTGTAGAAACCTCTCCAAGCCTTGACTATTTCTCCCATTGGAAGTACCTTCCCCCTTGGCTGATTTCTTTTGGGATATCTACTTTTAGAGGCCAGCTAGGCCTTCATTCCTCTCCAGGCTACACTGACTCTCTATAGGTCTACTGCACCTTCTCTACCAAGCTGCTGGGATCTTCATCTCCCTCCCACCTGAGGGCAAGAACTGTCTTTCTTTCTGCTTGTTATTTGTATGGCCAGCACTTAACAGTGTTCCTGGAATATAGTAAGCGCCTGACAAATGCTTGTTGAAATCAGTGTGCTTTAAACTATGCCACATTACTTCCATATCACTATGTGGCCTATGACAGCATAGTATGGGATCAGTTAGGTATCTGAATTATGCTTTTTTAATGGACTTGCTGAATTTAACATATTCAGCTTGCATACTACTAATGAAGGCTGCTGCTGCTATTTTACTGAGAAAATTTTACTGCTATTTTGATTCCCTGGCCTCCCCACCTCTCACTCCCCACCACCCCCACCCATCAGAGGTTGCTGCTATTAGTAACTCAAGGCTAACATATGAGGAAGTTAGAGTGGGGCATACCAATTCATCAACATTTCAAATGGAACTTGGTGGAAATTTGTAGGACAAAATTTTCCAATAAGAAAACCTGGCTTACTCAGCCTTGCCCTTCTAGTTGCCTGTCACACATACCTAGTGCTAGTATGTCTTTCAAACTTATCTCTTAATGTTCTGCTTCCTTGATCATTGTATTTTCTCCAATTCTAACTTATTTCACTTAGCCCTAACCCTGAACAGCCTGTTCAGTATCTCTGTTACACCCTTTTAAAGTGCCCTGTGGAATTCCTGTTATTTTGTGATCAAACTTTCCTGCATGTTCAAACTCCCAACAAGTGGAGAAACTGTATGGTGGGTATCACCCACATTTGAGACTGGCACTTGGAGGTCAAGTGGAAGGCCTTCAGGGTGGTGAGTAGTGAATCATCAAAGTGGCAGATATTAGCATTCAGCAATGCTTGTCACATTGAATAGAACCTTGACACCACCCTTCAGGGCCTATCTTGAATGCTGCCATCTCTTGTCCCAGTGGGAAATAACTTTTTCCTTCTCTGAATTTGTACTGAATTCTTACTGCCCTTTTTTGTTGTTGTTCACTCATGTATGACTCTTTATGACCCCATTTTGAGGTTTTCTTGTCAAAGCTACTGGAGTGGTTTGCCATTTCCTTCTCCAGTTCATTTTACAGATGAGGAAACTGAGGCAAACAGAATCAAGTGACTTGCTCAGGGTCATACAGTAAGTGTCTAAGCCCGGATTTGAAGTCAGGAAGATGAGTCTTCCTATTCCAAGTCCAGTGCTCTGCCTACCACTTAGCCCCACTTAGCTGTCCCTTCTGCTCTTTTACATCTTGACATTCATTTTACAACTTATCTGTTCTATGAGACTGCAAGCTCTGGAGGGCAGAGACCACGTCTTATTCATCTTTATATCTCCTAATGCACCTTGCTTACTTTGTGCAAAGCACTGTGTTCTCCATAAATATGTGTTGAATTGATTGAATGGATATTTGAGAATAAAATGAGGATGAAGGAGAGCATTTAATATTGAGTTGGATGTTCTGTAGATATGAAGGTTCAAGGCAACAGGTAGCCACTCCCATTAGATAATTACCATTCTTAGTAATAGTATATATAATCAGTGACTTTAAAATGTTCAGGATTGGTCTCAGACACAATGATAGGTCATGTGGAGAAGTTTCTATTTCTATAATGTTATTCATTGAATCATAAAATTTTATGTCTGGAGTTTGTTTGACAATGAGAAAGCTGAACTTGACAAAGACCATGTAATTAGCAACTCATTACATAGGAATTTATTTCAAGAGAGGTTAAGGGTAGGGCCTGGACCTATGAGTTCATTGGTAAGGGAACTCTCGGGTGAGGAAACTCCTTCTACCAATGCAGGTTGGCCCCCTCTAGTCTCAAAGACTTGCCTACAGCTTGGAGAGGTTAAGTCATGCAGTCACTATGTGTCAGAGGCAAGACTATAACCCAGATCTTCCTGATTGCAAGGCCAACTCTCTATCCATTACATTACACTGCCTCTCCATTTTTTTTTTTTTTTTTTTTTTTTGGTGAGGCAATTGCCCAGAGTCACACAGCTAGTGAGTGTTATGTGTCTGAGGCCGGATTTGAACTCAGGTCCTCCTGACTCCAGGGCCAGTGCTCTATCCATTGCACCACCTAGCTGCCCCTCTTCATTCTTTTTAACAGAGAGCCTTTACAGACGTATTTCTGAATTTGAGCTAGTATATCAACATATTTATGAAGAGACTTTAAAAACCTGACTTAAAGAACTGAAAGACCCATTCATCAAAGTTCTTAAAAAGTCTTCATAGAAGTCCTTTTCAATATCTTGATTTAGCTATAAATTTCAAAGTAACACCTGGCAGAGATCTTCTTTCTTAGATAACAGTCTTCGGTTAACTTCATCTTCTGTACTTCTGTGAGGTATAAGTCGGTAGAATTCTGACATCAGCTTTCTTAACTCTTCTGTTGTTTCTCCTTTGTTTAATGCTGCCTTAACTTGAAGTAGAATTCCCTCAGCTTTGCTCACCTTTAATATAAAATATTATTACAATGAAATCTTGATAAATAGAGCAAAAAATAACCAAATCTTTGGTAGCCACATTGTAACTATTAATTCTAAAGATGAAAGCAACAGGATTCTTCAAAAAATATAGTAATAAAAAAATTGGACTCAGTTTACAGAAAGGAAGTATGATGCCAATTTTTGATGAGTATTATCGTACCTTTAGAAGATTTGCTTTTCAAATAAATCCACGAAGATGTTTGAATTAAATGATAATGAACAACAATAAAACTACTATGAAGTAGAATAGGAAAGATCCTATTAGATACCTGGTACATAATGTTATTTTACACAATCACAAGTCCAAAAATGATTTCAATACATCAAGGATCTATGATTCATCAGAAAAGGTGTTAGGATCTTATACCTTAGTCTAAGAGTTCTTAACTTTTTTTATGTCCCAGACCTCTCTGGCACACTGGTGAAGCTTATGGAGCCCTTCTCAGAAAAATGCTTTTAAATGAATAAAATAAAACACATAATGATTACAAAGGAAACCAATCATATTGAAATACAATTACCAAAACATTTTTTAAAAAGTTTATGGACCCCACATTAAGAGTCTTTTCCTTAGATAGTTTTATTTATATGGCCAAAATAAAATCATCTCCTGGAGGCCAGTTTTGGCCTTAGCTAGGATGATCCTTGGAAATCCATTTCCAGGTATGTACTTAAAGTCTGTCCACTTTAGTAGGACCTCAGTACTTATGCTCTGCTGTCATGGCCTTTAAGAACTCAGGATCATCCCCTTACATCAAACTTATTTTCAAAAAGCTTAAGATAAAATAATCATCACCAAGGTTTTTCTATTGGTAAGAGTTAGAAATTACTAAATTAGCTTTTTGGTACAAATCAGCCTCTTGTGAGTCTAGCAAGAATAAGGCAGTTTCTCCAAAGTCTCATCCCCACTGAATAAACTGGCTAGTGAAATTTTATATCTATTAAATTAAGTCACAGGATTGCTCAGAAATTTTTTTCTTTTCCTTCACATGGAAAATGGTCCCTGGCAATACATGATGCTGTGCTATTAATGTTCACATCGATGTTTCCAGTTTATTAAATATCATATTTTTTTTTTAGGCAATTGGGGGTAAGTGACTTGCCCAGGGTCACATAGCTAGTAAGTGTCAAGTGTTTGGTCTGAGGCCGGATTTGAACTCAGGTCCTTCTGACTTCAGGGCCGGTGCTTTATCCACTGTGCCACCTAGCTACCCCCTATTAAATATCATATTGTTAAGAAATATAGTTCAAAATAGTTCAATTATGGAACCCTCACCATGTTTTTGACTTAACAACTCAACTTGCTTTTCTATGCCACAGGCAGAATCTGACTTCAGTTAATATATACTATTAATGGATCTAATTATTATGTCTTAAGTTGCTATTCTGAAAACAAAACATTTTGAAGTAGAACATATTTTTCCCAAATCATTGACTTACATCATTTAGGCTGATGCTATTTGCTGGCTTGAGAAGAATGTTCTCCAAGTGGCCAAGAGCTTCCACCCAAATCAACTCCACTAAGGTACTCACTTCCTCACTTATAGTATCTCCATTTAACACATCTTCCAACAGCAACTGGAACCAAAAAACACTCAAGTTACAAAAGTGGAAATGTTTAAAAGCAACCTAAGAATGAGAGGGGAATGAAGAGAATCGTAATTATGGCCTAGAGTAGGGAGAAGTAACATGGACATTCTTGGCATTCTACAGCTCCTCATCATGATGCCTCTTTACTTTCTCACTCCTCCTTTCCTAATGCTTTCTCTAGTTCTCTCTCCCCCTCCTTTCTTCCTTTTTTTTCCCCCTTAGGTTTGTTTGCTTTAGGTCCTCCATTAAAACTTGTGGGCATTTCTTAGTCATATTAATGGTGCTTGGATTAAAAAGGCATATCCTGACCTATCTTATGAAGATAATCAAATGATGTGAAACTAAGTAGGGTTTGCTAATTACATACATTACCAATCAGTTACAGATGTTGCAGATTATCCCATTTGGCTACTATGACCTTTTCCATGGCTCTAAGCCAAATAATCTCTTATTTCTATAAGGTTTTTTTCTCTACTTTTGCAATTCTTTTCTGTTCTATCAATTTTTCACTTATGCCTTTTCTCTCAAGAATATTAAAATAAGTTACTTAAATAATTTGTGGTCAGAAGAAAGACAAATAAATAAATCAATCTAACTGCTTGTAACTTCTCAGATGCTAGTAGGTTTGCTTCAGGTGGACAACTTTCTGATGGCAGAAATCCTTGTTTCTTCAGTTCTTCAATATAATTCTCATAGTATTCAACTGCATCTTCAGATGTATTTTTTCTAGATAAATGTCTTCTAGTCTGTGAATTACAGTACATATCAAAGTGTTAGAATAAGAACACTTTATTTACCCAGTAGTCACTTATCCAGTAATCTCAACTATCTGAAACACATCCAAAAGTTGTCAGGTAAACAAAAATGTTCTTTGAGTAACAAAAATAGATTTCAAAGTCTATTTATTACAGCTTGTGCTTATTTACTTTTACTTTACATAGAGTACTAACAAATTCAGTTATACGGTTTCCCAGTTTTGGGAAAATTAAAAACAATTGTAGAAGGAGAAGAAAGGAGGAAAAGACTATTCCTCAACCCAGGAACACCAATAAGGAGCAAGAAATAACAGCTGACAGAAAGTGAGAAGGTAGAAAAACTATAAAAAGCAGACTGGAATTCATAAGGCAGAGTAGTCTAAAGCAGTCTAGAATTTTGTAGGGGCAAACATCTTTATATACTTCAATGGTCCCAAGGATATCACTATATAATAACACAGCATATTAGTTGATATTCATAATCATGGACTTGAGAAAATGTTAAATTATATTTTGAATTTCATAAGGAAATCCATTAAATATCTAAAATTTAAAAATTTTGACATTTAAAGGAGCAAGTTTCAGATATCTAGAAAATTCACTTAAGTAGAATATCTCATTCTATAATAACGCCAATTAAATAGGCCACATCTTTTTTTTTTTTTGGATGAGGTAACTGGGGTTAAATGACTTGCCCAGAGTCACACAGCTAGTAAGTGTCATGTGTCTGAGGTTGGATCTGAACACAGGTCCTCCTGACTCCAGGGCCAGTGCTCTATCCACTGTGCCACCTAGCTGTCCCCCACATCTTTACTGTCACAAAATTGACTGAAATGTTTAAAGAACTAAAAATCCAATTGTGCTTATTTTTTAACTGTTAAAATTTTTTGATTTAGTAAGGAAAAACACTGTCTTAAAGGATCTCCTCCAACATATACATGGGAAAAGCCTTATAAAATAATAAAAGATACCCTGGCTACCTCAAGATCAAAACTAACTGTTGGATCTCCTCTGCACAAAATCAAGAGATGTATGTTCTCTGATGTAAGGCATTTGTCTCTGTCATGGAAGATATCTAGTGCAGAATTCAAATAGAAGTAGTATTCCCTTTAGATGGAGGGACCTTCAAGATCTTCCTATTTGTAGATGACATTATTGAATGTAACCCCCAGAGACTCTATTACTGATATGTTAGAGGACTACAGGGTATAGCATATGGAGGCATACAGGAGAGCCCAAGTTCCATCCAGTTTCTATTGCCTTTGACTTTGGAGGGTTAAATAACTTCCTTCTAGGGAGAAGCCAGGAGGCTATATAATACGGAAAAAGAGGAAGAAACATGGTTCTGGAATTCTATATGGGCTGATTCCATGCTGTCTAGGAAATATGTATAGGGAACAGAGTAATTTAGGTTGGTAGCTGTTGTTCACCTGATGCTGATCTATGAGCAGAGAGCAGCAGAGGTGATCCACTAAGCACCTGGAACCTGACCAGATGCAAATGAGGTGGGTACTGACTGGGATTCTTTATACTGGTCTCACCATATTTCTTATTGTTTCTTCCTTCTAACAGTGGAGAGGAAGAAAAAGGAGTGGAAAGGGATGACAGACTGCAATTCTCTAGCTTCAGCCATTTCAGTTTACAAGTGTTACTTTTAACCATTATCTGTGATTCTATACTATTTGAAACTGCAACTAAAATAAACAGGAATTTATGATGATTCTAGTCTCTGCCTACAAGTATGCAGTTGTAGATTGAGACAGGGGACGTAAACCAATTGAGAAGAAAACAAAAAGCTGAAGATGGTGGCCAAGTCCTTGGGCTCATCTTGGCCATCACATGTTCTTGCTGCCATAAAATTCTAGTCATTATTGTCCCAGAGGCAGGGGATAGTAGAGAAATCTCCTTCTCCCTTTACTGGAAGTCCAACTGAGAGGAAGTACTGGAGGGGTGGTAAAAGAAAGAAATGGGGCTGGTTCTTTTCAAGAATTTTTTTAGCCCACTGAGTGGGTGGCACCTCTTGACTCTGTAGCAAATCATCTTCAATACATTTTATGTCACTGGTGAGCAATCAGAAGCTACTATATCATCTCAATAATGAACATGTCCTTCAGCAAGGGGTCAGAGCACATGTCCCACAGAAAGTGACCAGAATTCAGGCCCAGCTCCATTGGAGGTAACCTTAAGAGGTTCCTCAATCACCCCCATGATAACTGTAATATACCTTAGAACATTGCAGAACCTCCTAAATGAGGTCAATAATCACTCAAAAGAATTGTCTAGTTATCTAGAATAGAAAAACCTAGTGGATGAAGGATGCTTATTATTTAGATTGTAATATAAAGTTGCATGTCTAGCAGTTAGAGCTGGTCTGTCACTACATATATCTCAGAGAGACACTGTGATGGATAATAAATGAGTGTTCGCCAAGAGGTGAAAAGGAAGTTGCATTTGAGAAATTGTGCAGCACTCTCAAACCAAAGCTTCTCCCTGAAACAAACAAAATACACTATTTTCACGCAAGTATTCTTCCAATGATGTTTTGTGGCTCTAAATTATGGACTACTACAATCTGTGAAGAATCAAAATTATGGTCACCCAAAAGGCAATGGAGAGATGCAGGTGAGCATCAAAAGGCTACAATTTATTTCCAACAATGAACTGCAGGTCAAAAGGAATACCAAACATATAAAAAATGAAATGTCTAGCTAGGAAAGGAGGTAACCTGGTTATGTTCCAAAAAAAGACGACCCATACCCTGTACTGTTATCTACATAATATCAAGAAACCCAGAAGGCTCTGGCCTGTTGAGTAGGCACCATGGAGGATTTCTAGGAGGACATGGACAAGAATTAATGCATGGATAGGTGACTGACTGTTCTTTCAGAGGGGATACCCATAACGAGACCACAGACCTACTCAGCTATTAATGTATTCTATTTATTCTTCTCATTTAAATAAATCACAACATGTCAGGGGGAAATGTACCCAAATCCTTTTGAAATTATTCTTGCTAAGGTTGGTACATTGAGCCAAGAAATGAAGTGATATATGCCCTAATCAAATAAGTTCCAGAAGTTTTTGAGATTCTAAAATTGGAATTGTGCCCTATGCTTTTTTTAGATGTTGTTAATACCCAAAATGCACATATCAGTGCACTATTTTATTTCATTCTCTCTTTTTCCCTTTTTTCCCCTTAAGTAGACATTATATGAAACACTAAAGTATAATTAAATTATTCTTTATTAGATATAAGTGCATTTGCCTTTTATTTATTGGAAAATTATTACCCAAAGGGTAGTGGAAAAATACAACATAAGTGGCAACATCTTACCAACACTGAATTGCCTGTGAGAGACTGAAAGAAGGGTTCTTAGAAATAGAGATAAAAAATAAAGAGAGGAAGTTGTACAGAAAAAAGTCCCCAGAGGCAGAGGTTTCAGCAGGATCTGATAATGGTGGGGACTACCCCTAATGGCTTTCAGGCATTGTTTTGGGCTGTGAACTTCAGACCATCTTTATTATTGTTGTTTAGTCATTTTTCAGTCACTTCCAACTTTTCATAACCCCATTCGAGGTTTTCTTGGCAAAGATCCTGGAGTAGCTTTGCCATTTTCTTCTCCAGCTCATTTTACAGATGAGGAAACTGAGGCAAAGAGGATTAAGTGATTTGCCTAGGGTCATACTGCTAGCAAGTGTCTGAGGTCAGACTAGAACCTAGATCTTTCCTGACTTCAGGCCTTGAGCTTTATCCATTGTGCCACCTAACTGCCCCAGAACATCTTTAGTCCTTCAGTAAGCTAATAGTCAGATACTGTTCAAAGCTTTTTCTGTCGCTCTTTGTATTTAAGCCTCTTGAAGCTTTGCTCTGAATGAACAGGAAAAGCAGCTCATATGGGGCAGCTGTTCTCTGGGCTGCAAGATGATGACTAAAACAGAAGTGCCCCCAAAGACCAGATGAAAACAAGACAAGGGCCCAAGTTTCTTCTACCTTGTTTTGTAGTTTAGCTCTATTATTGGGGGACGCAGTGGAAACAGTGCCAGTCTGGAGGACTCATCTTTCTGAGCTGGGGTCACAAAGAGTCAGACACAACCGAAATGAATGAACAACAACCGCTACTATTTCTAAACAAAGAAAAGAATATCTTGAAGGACTGTGGAATTGAGAGAGGATAACAAGATTTTTCCAACTACATAATTGAATCAATTTTCTGAAGGGCCCTAATTAGCCTGAAAATGAGCAACCATTTTATGACAGTTATAATAGGCAACATTACATAGTGGTTAGAGAGCTGGCTTCAGGAAGACCTGTTCAAGTCCGGCCTCTGACACGAGCTGGCTATGTGACCCCAGGCAAGGCACAGCAGCTCTCAGTGCTCTGTGTCTCTCTCTAAGACTCAAAGTTGCAGAGAAGGTGCTGACCTACACTGGCAGGGGGAATTCTCTCTATTGGTAAAATCACAGGCCCATCCCCAACCCTAACCATTATAAACATGCCTTTAAATAATCTAGAATATTCAAGATAGTGTTGTCTTCTCTAAGCAATTTTCTACTCCGTCCATTTGACACAATCCTTCCAACTACTAATGAGATGTGGTTATCATTAATGATAAACTCTATCCTAATTGTTCAGGGGCTGTCAAAGATTGCACTACTGTATATGAAATGAGTGGGGACAGAGACAGGAAGTTCCAGCACAATTGTTGCATCTCTGGCAAATTCAAATAGAAATAAAACATGTGAATTTCATATTAGTGATATAATTCCTTTGTATCAAACTGTTAATCAGTACAGCCCTAAGAACCTGATAGGGTGATTTGTTGAGAAAACAGGTCCAGGAAAGCAACCCTAATCGCTGATGAGCACATACAAAGCAACATAAATACCTTAACTCCTCCTGGCAGCAGCAGATTCGCAGCTACAAGAAAAGAAAAGTCAGGATTTTCTTGGAAGCACTGCAATTCCACCACCACAACTTCCTTCTCTCCCTCTGACTTAATCTGGAAAAGGTACAGCATGATATTCTAAATTATGTCACTTTTATGCTCTTTTTACATATAGAAGAGGAGGTTTTCTTTCAGTTTCTAAAAAAATGTTATTTGATGCAGAATTCTGGTTTTGGCTGTACTGTAGATTTCTATGCAGGGATTTTGCACTCCTAGAATCCTGGAAATACTTTTCAGACACAGATAAGAGGAATAGAGGAGGGGAAGGAGTGGAGATGTAGCAGCTCCAAAGAGTGAGTAGAGGTGCTGGCATGGAGTTGGTCCCACCTGTTCTTAAGGATCACTTTTGACTTTACCGGTAACGAGCCTTGGCGGAAGTCATTGAACCTTTCAGTGCCTCAGACAGCTCTTCCAGACTAGAGTTACAGAGAAAGTGCCAACAGGCATGGATAGTGGAAGTTCTTGCCTAGAAACTCCCTACATTGATGAAATCACAATTCTAGTTTCAAAAAAACAACCATGAAGTGGGATGGAGGTACCAGTGGGACCTGAGTCTTCCCTAATGCAGCAGTGTTCTGACGTCTGTCTTCATTTGAGGAATCCTGATTGTGAAAAACAAAACTTTTTCTAAATGCAACTGCTGCCAAAATTTAACATAACTTTATGAAATCTATCCTTTAAGCTGAGGATATTGAAGCTTTCAAAATAAGTAGGAAAAATTATTAAACAAAATATTTAAAAACCATTAATTTCACATACTAGAAATTGAATTCTTACTTTTTCCAAGAAGCTATACTTTGCAACTTCAAAATCTTGAGGAACATGAGGGATATTGTCATCTTCTGTACAAAATCTGAAATTTAAACAATAATTTCTTAAATATTAAAGTGTGTTTTTGAGAAGAATTTTGCATTGCCATAAAGATTTTTATGGTAGAGTCCTGTTCTGGTAGATTCACTAGCTCATAAAAACATTGATCCGCATCCCATTTAAGTGGAAAGAAGCTTTAGAAGTCAACCAGACAAACTCCCATCTTTTATAAGTGACATCATATCTCTGCCTATTGCCCACTTATGCATTATCACAATGGGTGAGACTGCCAAATAATCCATATTCCTGTTCCACATATATTAAAACATCATGAATATTTGTATTAGACAGAAGTAATAGAACAGAGACAAGTTTTTCCTGAGAGAAGTTTATATGATAAAATGTCATACAATGTAAAGTAGAACAAGAATTTGTGGAATGAGCCTGAGAAATTGGTCTCAGTGAGACAAAGTCTAGTTTATAGTCCTTATTCTAGATTTTATCCTTTCTTCTTTATATTGAGAGGTAGTATGGTTTAATGGACAGAGTGGGCCTTTAAGTGAAAAAACCTGGCTTGGATAAAATCTACCTTTTGACACCACTGGTTTTGTGACCCTGGGCAGGTCACTTACACTTCTCAGTGCTCTAGGCAACTCTAAGCCTCTAAGTTACAGAGAAGGTGCTGCCCTGCTTTCGTAGGAGTTTCCTCACCTGGGAAGTTCCTTTACCAATGAAATCACTTCATTATACTCTACTTCATTCTCTTATCCACCCACCTCCTCCTCCTCCTCCTTCTACTAAAATAATTAATTTTGATGCACAATTTATGTAAAAGATTTAAAGTGTGCTTTGAGAAAACATACTTCACATTAATCCTCATAAAATCCTTTGGCAGGAGGATGCCAGTATTTACTTTAGTGGAACCTGATGTAGAGAGAGAATAAATAAATGCCTAGATTGAGGTAATTCAGTAGTGGCAAAGACAGGGGTAAAGTAGGCTTAGAATCCAGATCTATTGACTGCTATTTTAGTGCTCTTTCCACCCACCTCATGTAATCCTGGGAAATAAAATAAATCATTGATGCTTCAATTAAAACACGTTAACTTAAAACAGAGGACTAAATGAACATTTGTATGTAGAGAAAAATCTCTTAAAAAAACTGATAACAGGGTTTGGCACAGGCCCAAACCACCTAAAAAGGAGATGCCAGGGATTAGTTTCTGTGAGACATGAGACAGGAGAGTGTCACACACATGGACACTCTGCATTGGCCTACCACATGGTTGGGAGCAGCCTCTTTGCATTGGCTGGTAGCCAGAACTTGGTTGGTAGCCAGAACTGGTTGTTTTTAATACTACCTAACTGGGAGAGTCTCTCTTTTCAATGGTGCCCAGGGGTAAAGGATTCATTCACTCAGAGCAGGGCCACCATTCAGCAAGCTGAGGAAAGAAAGACCTGAAAGAAAGAACCTTCATCTCTCTTTAAACCCTGTGGCTCCAACAGGCAGAGCTCTTTTGGTTTTGTTTTATTTGTCCTTTTCAATTCTAAGTACGGAAAGTGGAGTCTTCAACCCTTAAACTCAAGCCATGGTGACCTTGGATTCCAGGGCCAGCAGGGAAGCCCTAAGAAACCAGGGTCCTAGACACAAGCTAGGGGGTGACTTGAGATTTGGATGGGACCTCTGTTTTAGGTAGCTTGGGCGTGTGCCAAACCTCTGTTACAGACTTTAATGGTGCAAGTATTCTACCATTGGATAAAAGTATGGTTAAGTACATAAGGGTTGCAGAAGAAATGAGAGTTTACTTATTGTGTTCCACAATCTTTTCATTCTTCTCTGTGGCACTGTGCAAGTCATCCTTGTCCATTCCTGGAATAGAAGATATGTATTTACTATTAAAGATAATTCTACTGTAAATAGCTTGATAAGATATCTATAGAAAAATAAACAAGGGCCCATAAAATTTGGAGCATCAAGACACATGGTCCCATGCTAGAAGGCCTATAAGAATGAATCTTATTGAATTTAAAACAGTACACAGGAATAAATGTACCTAAATTTTCTCTGCAGCACCTGAAACACATTTGGTGATTTCTACGAAAATTAATATTCTTGATGACACTTACTGGAACTGCTAGATCTTTCAAAAGGAGGTGGAGTGACTCCTGATGATTCATTGCATTTGTAATTCTCAACACTTAAGAGTTTTCCTTGTTTGATGCAGTCCCACAAAAAATCTATGTTTGCGATGGAGATATGATACTTCTGGACAGTACTCAGCTCACCAGAACTCAGGATGGCATCATTATCTAAGATGACATGTGTGCACTAAAAAAAAGTAGAGGAGAATCAATCCATTGTGTATTCACCAGAACTTGACCCATATTTGTTAACAATTTCCCCCTTTGAAAGCCATGTCCAAAAGTTACTTTGAAATGAATTTCTCAGATTTAAAAAGCAGCCCTTAGAAAGTAAAATAATTTCAGGGTACACAAAAGTTACCTAAAAGAAAACACCATCACAACATTTAGGTAAACTGAGTCTGACTGAGTGAATTAACTTTTTAGCACTAGAAAGTGAGTAGGGCAGTAGTGAGGGAAGGGCTCACAGTTCTGTTTCAGATGCAGGTAAATAGAAATATTGTATTTTGTACAGCTTTAGTGTCAAAAAGAAATTTAGATGTCATATGATCCAAAAGGTAAAGAAGCTACTTGAAGTTTTAGATCTCTTTTATCAATTAATTAATCAACAAGTATTTATTAAGCATGTACTACATTCTAAGCACTGTGCTGGGCATGGGGGAAAATATAAATAATGAACAATCCCTAAGGCACTTAATTGTAAAGGGGAAGATAAAAAAATTCATAAGTAGATATAGAAATAAATATAAATACAAAGTAGTTTGGAAGGGAAGGCACCAGCAGCTATAGGGCATCAGGAAAGGTTTCATTTAGAAGATGATGTTTAAAGTACTTTTTGAAGGACAAAATGGACTCTGAAGTGAAGGTGAGGTGGGAGTGTATTATGGGCAGGGAGGTAGAGGGAACCAATACAGAGCCAATGAGACTAGAGATGAACTGTTAAGTGTGTGGAAAAGAGAAAACGCCAGTTTGGTAACATCTAGAGTAAAGGAAGGTAACAGCCAATGAAGGTGGAAAAGTCCTTGAGGCTAGCTTGTGAAGGGCTTTAAAGTTAAATAGAGGAATTTATACTTGATACTAAAGACAATAGGAAGCCACTGGAGCTAAGTAGAGGAATGGTGTGGTCAGAAATGAATCTAAGTAAAATTATATTGGCAGTAGGATTTAGAATGGGTTGGAGTGGGGAGAAACTTGAGGCCGGTGGGGAGACCAATTAGGAGGTGATGACGGCTTCAACTAACCTAAGGTACGAATGTCTGTGTAGAGAGAGGGGTCTAATGCTAGAGATGGTGTGGACAAAGAAATGACGAGATGTGCTAACTGAGTGGATGTGTGGGAAAGCCAGGAAGTGAGGAGAAGCAGACCTTGGACATGGGGAAGAGAGTGTTGCCTTTGACAGAAATAGCGAAATTTTAAAGAGGGAAGCATTTGAGGAAAAGAAAGTGAGTTCAGTTTTGAACATGTTGAAGTTAAGATGTCTCTGGAACATCCAGTATGAATTGTCCAATTAAGCAATTTATGATTTGGGACTGAAATTTAGGGAAGACACTGAGGCTGGATATATAGATCTGTGAGTCACTTGCCTGGTGATTATAATTAAACACATGGGAGCTGATGAGGTTACTGTGAATGAGTATATAGAGAGAAGAGGGTCTACAATAGAACTTTAGGGAACACTCCACAATTAGGGAGCCTGATATGGACAATAAACTAGCCAGCAAAGGATTACAGAGTAATAGTAATAATAATGATAATAACAGTTAACATTGATAAAGTGCTTACTATGTGCCAGGCAGTGTGCTATGTGTTTTATAATTGTCTTATTTGATCTCACAACAATCCTGGAAGGTAAATGCTATTACTATCCTCATTTTACAGATGAATAACTGAGGCAAACAGAGGTTAAGTGACTTGCCCAGGATCAAACAGCTAGTAAATGTCTGAGGTCACATTTGAACTCAGATCCTTCTGAATCTAGTCCAAGTACTCTAACCACTGTGCCACCTAGCTGCCTAAGAGTAATTATCCTCTTAAACACCACTGGTAATGAGGAACTATTTCTTGAGGCTATTATTAATAATTATTATATTATTAAGGCTGTCCATTTTTGGACAGCTCTTGATTGCTATGTAGCTTCTCTTTATATTGAACTGAAACCTGCCTCCCTGTAACAATACAATTAATATTCCTCAATCTATAAAAAGAAATTTTAATATCACATGAAATATGACATTCATATTTTTCTCAAGCCTCATTCTCTTGTAAAATTCCTCAGTTCTGCTGAGGGAGCTGAAGAGTTCTTTCTTGTACTCCAGATTCCTAACGTTGGAGTCATTCTTGACCATTTCTTCCCCCAAACATTTCACCCCTCCCCCCCCCAAGACTCTTGGATCCCTCCCTTTCTCTTCACTCACAAAGACTCTACTCTAGCATGGGCCCTCATCACCTCTACCATAAGATCCAGAAAGGCTTTGCATACAAGATGAAACCTAAACTGCAGCTTGAAGAAAGCTATGTAGTCTAATAAGCAGAGATGAGGAATAAGTGCATTCAGACTATTCTTTGACAGTTGTACCCTCAGCAGAAACCGGGAAGTTTGGAGGAGTAAAAGATTTTTGGGGAAAAGATAAGTATAATTACCATTAAGTGTAATATATTAAGTATAGATATTGTGGCGTTTATATTAATGTTTAATATATTTAATATACTCACATTTCATTTACATATACTACATTGCATACATAATAAAAGATGATAGGAGAAGAGGACAACGTATTTCCTTTCAGTATAAAGAAGAGTTTCTCAACAAGAGCTGCCTAAAAGTAGAGCTGGTTGGCTTGGAAAATAGTGAGCTCCTTATCACTGCAGGTCCTCAAGCACCTGGAGAGTCACTTTTTTTTTTTTTTGCTAGTACTTCTTTACTGTGTTCAATACATAGAAGAATAGCCCTCCCCTCAAGAAAAAAAAATTGGCAACAGAAATTACATGACGTTGATCTTTTAGAGAACCTGTATTTAATGATCAATAAAGATTATGCAAGGAAATAAATAATGAAACACAACACTGAAAGCTGAAAAAAAATCACAACTACCAAATACCTAGTAAGACATGACCTGGTGGTTACAATTACACATCAGAAGCTCATTATCCTTCACAACCCAACAAATGAGATATCTATAATATTCAATACAGACTTCAAAATATCTTTGAAAATTCAGCAAATAAACTACTGAAACAGGACAATGATCAAAGACCAATTGCTGCTCAATCATCTAGATAGCATTTCATTGATTAAAAAATTAGCATTGTTTTTCATATCAAATACTTTTAATATTAAAGCTATATTGAATGTTTTCAAAACATAAAGACCTAGCAGGAAAAAAAAACACAATACCACCACATAATCCTGTCTGCTCTTGAGGTGATTGTACCTTCAGAAGATAAGCTTACATTTCAACATTTTAATTAAATTACAATTTTCCTTTCAATTACCAAAAGTAGTAATCTTGTCTGTTTTGCAATAGACTAAAAAAGAATAACAGGAAGATAGTAACTTGTCTCAGGACTGTTTTCATCTGAATTACTTTTAAAAGAGAGGAGGGAGGGAGGGAGGGAGGGAGGGAGAGGAAGAGACAGAGAGAGAGAGAGAGAGAGAGAGAGAGAGAGAGAGAGAATGAATGAATGAATGAATAATAGTAATAATACTAGTTGGCATTTATATAGTACTTTAAGGTTTGCAAAGCATTTTAATCCATTATCTCCTTTAAATTTCACAAGAGCTAGACAGGGTAGATACTACAGAAATCAAGATTTTGCAGATGAGAAGCTTAGTAAGGTTCAGAGATATTAAGTAAGTTCCATGGCCAAGGTTACACAGGTAATAAATATCAGAAGTGGGTTTGAACCTAGTACTTCCTGAATCCACATCTAAAAAATCTTACCTTTTATACCATCCTGTCTCATTTCCTAGTTTTCCAAATGGAATGGTTGAATAGGTAGATAAAATGAATTGCACATTTCACTTAATTGAATCACCACATATGCTACCCATGTTTTGTCTATTTTTAAAGATAAAAGTAAAACAAAGTACATTTAAGTCTCATTTGATATCAGATAAGATCATATTTGTAAAGTCCTTGGTCCTAAGTGCTTGGCACTAAGTAGGCACTTTAAAAATGCTTAAAAAAAAAGTCTACAACTATCCAAATGATATGATTTCTTAATTCCTTGTGGTGGCTTCTTAATGTTTTAAAGCTCTTAAGATTGTCTAAAGTTTAATACCTTACGGGTTAGTACAGAGGAAACATTTCCATTGTTTTTCTTAATATTAGCTCTTAGGAATTTCTTCTGCATGTACTGTAAGCTGTCGTCTTTCAAATAGAATCTGTACTTTGTAAATATTCCCATGGTTATCCTGTTAAAAAAAAATGCAGACAAGTGAAGTGAGCAGAACTGGAAGAACACAGTACACCGTAACAGCAATATAACAATGATCAACTGTGAAAGACTTACTTATTCTGATCAGTTCAATGATCCAAGACAATTCCAAAGAACCCATGATGAAAAATGCTATCAATCTCCAGAGAGAGATGAATTCTGAGTATAGACTAAAGCATATTTTTTCACTTTCTTTTTCTTTCTTTCATCTATGTATTTGTTTATTTATTTATATGTTTTGCAAGGTGGCTGGTATAGAAATGTTTTGCATGACTTCACATGTATAATGGGTATCCTTATTGCTTGCCTTCTCGAATGGAGGAAGGGCTGGAGGGAAGGAGAGAATTTGGACTTCAAAAATTTAAAACCAAACATTTAAAATAATTCAATAAATTTACAAAAATAAGTAATGCCAATGTATTTTATATGCTAATATACATAATTATTTCATTAAAATTTTTAAAAAACAGAGGCAAGTGCTAGTCTAACAACATTTAAGAATGTTTTTGTAAAGTGAATGATGCTTTGCTTTAGGAACTGAAAATGGGTTTGTTAAGAGATAATCTTTTTATAAATTTACTTTGTTCAATTTTTCTGCTTTGGATGAATATAATTATTACTAAATTTGGGTGGAGCTGTATGTGCAAAACATATCTCACATCCATTTTACCACCACAGAAATAACTACTTTACAGCTATAAGCTAAAATGTATTGGTTGTGTTATGATGAGACAATAAAGGTCATTCAGTTTAACCTGCTCATTTTATAGATAAGAAAGCCCTTGTTGAATATACTACTGTTGAATATACTATTGAATCCAAAATAATACATGAATCTCCAATAAGATAATAATGAGGATATGTAACAAATTTCAGCTAAATGTCAGTGACATGATTCACAATTGTTTATATATTTTTATTTTTAAACAATAAAAAATCAAAATTATGTGGGAATGTAGGACTCTTACAGGGAAGAAATCTGGGTCTTTCCATTATACTATATAAATTCAGATAGTCTTTTATCTCCTTTTAGTTAAAAAGAACTTTAAAAAAAGTGATCTTAGAGAAATTATTTTTAGTGGCAAGGAATGAGTTACCAAATTCAGACAATAAAGGAATTATTTGATGATAAATGATGAAGAGGCTTATAAAAATTTAAACTTACTTTAATGCCACAGAGTCCTTTATATATGAGCTGCTTCTGAGCAAATTAAAAAATTTTAATGACAATTAAAAATATGTATGTATTTAACAATAAATCAGAGGGTACTGATCTAATCCAAGTTTAAATCTTTCCCAGTTAGTGGCTTTCTTTAGCAGTTTTCAAAGTGCTATGAGATCATAATAATGATGATTTTATAAGATCATGTAAGATCATAAGATCAAAATAATGCTAAGATCTTTTTCATTTCTAAATAATAAGTATCAATTTGCTCCATAAGCAAGAGTTTTTTAGGGTTCTTATTAATTTTTTTTTTATTTTAGGTAATTTGGGTTAAGTGACTTGCCTGGGGTCACACAGCTAGTTAAGTGTCAAGTGTTTGGTCTGAGGCTGGATTTGAACTCAGGTCCTCCTGACTTTAGGGCCGGTACTCTATCCACTGGGCCACCTAGCTGCCCTGTTCTTATTAATTTTTAAGAGTGTAAAGGAGTCCTGAGACCAAAAATTTGAGAACTGCTGGCTTACATTATCTCCTTCCTGTTAACAGTTATAATTTGGTTAGTCAAAGACCACTTAGTACAGATCATTGATTTCAACTGTCTTATAACCTTATAGCACTACTAATTACTCTTTTATATTTACATATTTTTTAAGTACTGGCTGGAAGGTGCTATAAAATATATTTATGATTAGAGTTAAAAAATAAATACCAGGGTGAAGTTATATAGGCAACAAATATTGGCACTCATAGTTGGCTCCTGACATTTCTAATCTTATGCCCATAGGACTATTTTCATTTGCAAAATGATAGTTTTTAAAAATTTTCAATTAATCTAAAAGCATTTATTTTGATCCAGTCAAGTTTCAGGGTTACAAAGTAAGGTAAACACAATTCCTGCCTTCAGAGAGCTTTCATTTTATGAAGGAGATAATATGTAAATATCTAGGAACATGGAAGACATATACAGAGCAGATGGGAGGAAAACTCAGCAGGAAGGTTTTGGTGGGGAGGATATGGGGTGAGACTAGAACAGACTTTCTACAGAAGGTTAGATTTCTACAGAAGGTTGCTTGAAGCTAGGAGGTGAAGTTGAGGAGAGATAGAGGTATGGGAGACAGGCAGTGAAAAGCACACTGAGACATGAAATTTATTGTGTGAGGATGAGCAAGTAGGCAAAAGCAGCTGGCTGTGCACACAGTGACACTAAGGCATTCTTGGTGAGGTGTGAAGTGACTCAACCTTTCTGGAGAACAATTTATATCTATGCCCAAAGGGCTATAAAATTGACCATACTCTTTGAACTAGGAATACCACTACTAGGTCTGTATCCCAAAAAGATCAAAGAAAAAGGAAAAGGACCTATTTGTACAAAAATATTTATAGTAGCTCTTTTTGTAGTGGTAAAGAACTAGAAACTGAGAGAATGTACATAATTTGGAGACTGACTAAACAAGTTGTGGTATATCATTATGATGGAATACTACTGGGCTACAAGAAATGATGAGCAGGATAGTTTCAGAAAAACCTAAGAAGACTCATATGAACTGATGCAAAGTCAAGTGAGCAGAACCAAGAGAACATTGTACACAGTAACAGCAATATTGCAACTATGATCAACTGTGAAGGACTTAGCAACTTTGATAAATAAAAAGAGCCAAGACAATTCCAAATGACTCATGATGAAAAATGCTATCCACCTCTGGAGAGAGAGAACCAATGAACTTTGAGTGTAGAATGAAGTATAATTTTTTCATGTTCTTTATTTTCTTGTTTTTTTTTCAAAATGGCTAATATGGAAATATGTCTCGCATGATTTCACATGTAGAATTGATATTACATTGCTAGCCATCTCAATTAGTGGGGGAGGGGCTGGAGAAAGGGAAATAATTCAGAACTCAAAATTTTTTAAAAAATGAATGTTAAAAATAAATAATAAATATTTTAAAAATGCTATTGCAATAGTCTAGGCAAGAGTTGAGAAGGGCATAAAGTAGGGTGGTAGCTATGTGGAGAAAACGGGATGTATCTGAAAAATTTTATAAAGGTAACAAGATGCCAAAGCATCAGATTGGATATGTAGAGTGAGTGAGAGGAAGGAGTCAAAAATCACACTAAGGTTGTGAGTGTGGGTAAATGAGAAGATGGCAGTGCCTCAACAATAACAGCAAAGTTGAAATTTAGAAGAGGAGAGTTTTTTGGGGAAAAGATAACGAGTTCTGCTTTGGATATGTTGATTTGAGATGTCTCTGAGACATCCAGTTTAAGAAGTCTAAAACGCAGTACTGTTGGGTCAGGGGCCAGTAGTAGGGGTCGATCCAAGAATCACCTGCATAGAAATGATAACTTAACCTAAGAAAGCTGATTAAATCACCAAGAGAGATAATAACGAGGGAAAAGAGAAGAAAGCCTATGGAAGAGTCTTGAGGGAGAGGAGGGGGAAAACATCCATAGAGGGTTTGAAATAAACTGAGAAATAAAATCTGGAGAAGGAGTGGTCAGAGCAGGAGAGAGCTGTATCACAATAATCTAGAGAGGAAAGAGTTTCTAAGAGAAAAAGATGAAGTTAAGAAGAATGAAGACTGAAAAAGGGACAATGGGTTTAATAATATGATCAATAACTTTGGAAAGGGTAGTTTCAGTTGAATGGTGAGGTCAAAAGCCAAATCACAGAGTGTTTAGAAGAATGAGAAGAGAGGAAGTAGAGGCATCTAGTGACTATAGATTTCTCAAACAGTTTCGCCAAGAAGGAGAGGAAAGTTATAAAATGCTAGCTTATAGGAATAGTACCATCAAGTGAGGTATTTTAAAGCTTTTTAAAAAGTGATCGGTGATTTAGTCATGTTTGGTCCTCTAAGAAACCCTCTAGGTCTTATCTAATCTGTCCATTAATAAAACTGTAACTAAAATGATTGGGCCCAAGCCTTATTAATCAATTTCTAATATAGTTTACCTTTGGGGTAGAATTATTCAGGGCATCAGGATGAGGCTTAACTACCTATCTTTAGAATTCATGGTGGCAGTGTTGGTGGTCATGGAAGCAGTAGATTAATTTAAATATTCCTTAACTTTGATTTCTGGTGAATTCTAGAATGAATTATTAAAGATATGGTTAAGGAACATCTATGAAGCAGTGATACTCCCTGCTAAGATGGCTGCCTAAACGGGAGGCAGGTCTACCAGCACCTATAAACCTATTCCAACAAAACACTTAAGTTCACCAACACGGAATAATGATCAAGAAATCTATAAGAAACTATAATATGTTTTCTTCCACCCTAGAGCTGGACAAAAAGTCAGGTAGAGGCCTAAGAGGAAAAAAATTCCTCCAACAAAGCCAGTGTTAGTGAAGTGGAGCCTCTCAGGTGTGACTAGAGATGTAAGAGATGACACTTACAAGGCCCTGTATCTTGAGGCAGCAGGAGGAGAAGGCTCCCCTAAGAAAGTCCATGAATGGTCTGTAAAACTCTGGGTAGGGGTCTTAAAGTCTTGAGTAGCTGTAGTGGATAGCTACCAGTGACCAGCATGATGCTGCAGCACTCAGATCAGAACAGCCCAGGCCCAGAGTCTAGGCGGTACCTAAGGTCTAAGATCAGGGGCCTTCTAGGTCCTTGGGTGTGGCCTTTTGACTGAGTCAAGTTTTACTGAACAAATCCTTTTATTGAGGGGATTTGTTCTGTGAAGTTTGGATTCAGTCAAAGGGCCACATTTGAGGACTTAGAGGTCCACATGTGGCCTTGAGGTTGCAAGTTCCCCACCCCTGCATAAGATGAAAGAGACTTGAAGATCCAGCACCCTCAACCTCAAAGATCCAGGG